TAGGCAGGTAGATTTAAGGTTTTGATGTCAAGAGCTTCTGCTGTCAAAAAGTTTATCACTTTTAAAAAGGCACCTTGGGGTTCTCTGAACCTTATATATAGCTCTCACTTTATTTTCTAAAACCAGAACCTTTTCAGCAAGCAATTTCACACAGGCCACAAGCTTCTCCGCGTGCTTTAAAACAATACAACTCTAAAGTATACCCCAATATTCTGGACAATCGTCTTTACCTATGAGCGGGGGTCCCAGGCATAGGCGCCAAGGCCCTGGAAGGCTTGTTCTCCCATTTTGTGAGTTTGCCACACAGCAAGAAATGCCAATTGGCGTCTTTCTCTTGCATGTCAATGTAGAGCTGAGTGGGAATAGCCAGGGATTATTCGACTTAACTGCAATGTTTTAAATCAAAACCTCATGTTGGGGGATCAGGAGATACTGAAAGAGCCACCCCTGTCCACAATAATCGAAGAGAGACAGAAGGTGCCATCAAAACTGCATCCGTTGAAATTGATTATACAAATGCCATTTAGCATTAAAAAAAAAAAATCCCCTGGTGACAGCTGTCCCATTATTGGTCACACTGTTTTCAATTAGGTCACAAACGGGCAAAGTGGAGATAGTGTCCATTTTGGTAACTGTTGCTGTTCTTCTCCACATCGCCATACTAGCACCTGCTGTCAAGGAGCCCACTCAACCCCAGAAGTCACCCCCTCTCCATGACCGAGGTGTTGGGCAATTGTGGCCCTTTGCAAGGAACCAGTGGCCTGGCCTTGCTGGCTGGAGGCCAAAAAGTGCTTTTAGCATTTTCGACCTGAGAAACCCAGAGGTGAAAAGAAAAGCTCTTGAATCTGAAGGCACAGTGGATGGAGTCCACAGCTAGGGGCCCAGAGCGAAGCGTGTAAATACCGTTTTAAATAAGGAAGCTTAAAGACGTGTGGGTTCTTTCTCCTCCAGTGCTCTACCGTTGCTGAAAACGCCTTCCAGTCCCGCGGCAACTGGACTTCGGAAACATGACCTCGGGGACCTCCCGATGCTCCAGAAGACACCGCAGTTGTCACATTAGTCACCACAAAGGTAAGCTGCAGAGGGCACCTATCAACTGCAAACGGCAATAGGGCAGGGATTCTTCAAAGACTCGGTGCTTTCCGATGGCAACAGAAAGACCTGTGGGCACAGCCAATAACCAAGGCCGGAGGAGAGAAAGGCTCGTCGTGAGAAGAGTGGCTGCGGGCAAGAGGCTGTTTGGCTCTGGTTAGCGAGTTGTAAGCCCGCTTTGTTCTCCCCCACCCCAACTCCGCTCTGCCACAGACGGAGCTCCCAGAAATGGTACGGTGGCACACACTTCTTGCCTATTAATAGTCCCCCACTGTTAGAAGGCTAAAGCCGTTGGCAAGCTAAGGCGCTCTCGGGTTTTCCCTGTACAGGGGAGGGATGCCTCCAGGGACCGTGCTGGGGTCACGCTGAACGAACATTCTGTCTACTCTGAGCCTGCACACAGCCCTGGCTTCGATTAGGCTTTTTAAACCCCAGCGTTCCGGAGCAGGCATCCCACAGTGCAGATAGCAACTGCCACTTTTACAAGACATCCAGGGTGCATGCAAGTCCCCAGCCCCCCTACAGCCCCAGTGCAG